CTGTAAGAGCCAGATGTGTATGCCACAGAGGCACATAAACAGAAGGGGGTGGAGGGAAATGGTCTCATAGCAAAGACAAGGAGAATTCCCAGGTGCTTTATGTGAAGCTTCATATGAGAAAACAGAAAAGAGACTATTTAGTAAGAACAAGGAAACAGGAAGGAAGACTCTCCTGCAACTGGGTGTGGATTAAAAAGAGAATAAGAGTGAAATTGGTGCTGGAGGAGACTCTTGAGAGTCCCATGGACTGCAAGAAGATCAAACCTATCCATTCTGAAGGAAGTCAGCCCTGAGTGCTCACTGGAAGGACAGATCCTGAAGCTGAGACTCCAATACTTTGGCCACCTCATGAGAAGAGAAGACTCCCTGGAAAAGACCCTGATGTTGGGAAAGATGGAGGGCACAAGGAGAAGGGGGAGGCAGAGGACGAGATGGTTGGACAGTGTTCTCGAAGCTACAAACATGAGTCTGACCAAACTGCGGGAGGCAGTGGAAGACAGGAGTGCCTGGCGTGCTCTGGTCCATGGGGTCACGAAGAGTCAGACATGACTAAATGACTAAACAACAACAACAAGAGTGAAGTGGCCTTTCCCAAAAGTTTTGAACTACAGCTCCCAACAGCCCCTGTGCTGGCTGGGGCTGATGGAAGTTGCTGTAGTCCAAAACATCTGGACGGCAACTCCATTCCCTCCACAAGAGTCCTGCTGGATCAAGCCAAAGACCTCTCTAGCTCAGCATCCTGTTCCCAAAATGACCAAACGGATGCACACGGCCTCAAAACCAGGAATGCTCCATCTGGCCATCAGCCATTGAGTAACTTCTCTGTGAGGGTGTCTCATTCTCTTTTGAAGCCATCTCATGGCCATCGCCACATCTTGTGACAGCTAATTCCACCAATGAAATCTGAGATTGCAGAGAACTTAAGAAGTTGCTTTATCCTGAGTCAGGCCATTTGTCCATCTTGCCCATTGTCTAAGTGGCAGAAGCTATCTGGGGCTTCGGGCAGGAGACATTCCCAGCTCTGTGTGGAGATGCTGGGCATTGAACCTGCATCCTTTGACATGCAATGCAGATGCTTTAACACTGAGCCACAGCCCTCCACAGAGGAAAAGGGGGAGTTGCCTTACACTGAATGAGATTATTAGTCCATCTACTTCAGTATTATCTACACTGGCAACCTCCAGCGTATAGAGTAACAGCCAAAGTGGCCTTATACTGAGTCAGACCCTTGGTCCATCTGGCTCAGTATTGTCAAGGCTGACGAACACCAGTTCTCCTGAGTTTCAGACCGAGAGTCCTTTCCCAGCCCAACCTGGAGCTGCCATTGGGGACTGAACCCAGGCAGAGCAGCAGGCAGAGCAGATGCTCTACCACTGGGCCTTTTGATCCCCCAAGTCCCAGCAGTGCCCCACAGACACTAGGGTTGCCATATTTCAAAAAGTGAAAATCCGGACACAGAAGTTGTTGAGCTTCAGACAGCAGTATTCTGGGCATGTCTGGGAAATTCCAGATGTATGGCAATCCTAACGAACATCCAAGTTGTTGTTCCCCTTTAAAGGCTCTGTCAAAAAAAACCCACAGCTTTGCCTCCAGAAGGACACAAATCACAAGTAGCCAGAAGGCCTCACAACTGTGAAGCAGCTGCCTGGTGATCATCCCCCGCCCCCAATCAAAGGTCAAAGAATGTGCTGACTTTTGTACTTCATCTGCTTGGATGACAACAGAATGTGGACGGATGAGGCAATGAAATATTTAGGCCCATCCTGACCTGACAGTGTCTCTCGTGGAAATTTTTTGTCATCTTTCCCCAGGGGGAGATTTCAGACAAGAAAACTCCCCAGGGGGAGATTTCAGACAAGACACAGAGGCCCTTCGGGGAGGATTTTCACAGCACCTGCTCCGACTGATGACCCAGATCCTGTGCCAGGTCTTTTTACAAGTGAGCCCTTCCTGGTTTCTCAGGAGCCCCCTTCTGAAGTGATTCTTTCACATGCTCCAAGACCACATGGAGAGAGGAGACTGACTCTGCCATGCTGGTCCTTTGTGCAGTGATTGAAAGGTCTGGAGAGAGAATCTACACACCTCCAGGTGAACATGCATAGGCTCATGCAGGCCATCAAGAATCTTGTGTGACTGGCATTCCTGATCTTGTGATGGAGTCATGCATTCAGCTGAACTCACACGCCTTTTGTACCTTCCAAGCAGTGGGCAGCGATCCACCATGGAACTAGCAGAGGCGGAAGGTGTTGGGAGTGTGTGCAGCATGCCTGGGCTCCATGCCATCATCCCCATGGCACCTGAAAGGGGCTATACTCAGGGCAGTGTGTTTCCTCTATGCTGCTAAGAAACACATACATACATACATACATACATACATTCTCCATCCAGACAATCCAAGTTCTGCACCAAGGAAGCTGTGTTCTGCAACTTGTGAAAGTGTATGTGAATACTGTTTGCATAATTTATCCTAGTTTTCCTAGTCATGGGGAGAACTAAGGAGCTACATGGAGAGCTGTGCTAAAGGTGAAACTACAGAAAACCTTATTTAGCCATTTCCTCTGGCTTCTGAAACTTCAGAATGCAGTGGCTAAACCCTCTCAAGCACTATTTCCCCCCACAAAGACTAAGCATTTTTGTTGTGTGTGTGTCAGAGGAATGGAGGAAGGAAGGAAGGAAGGAAGGAAGGAAGGAAGGAAGGAAGGAAGTTGGCCCCACCCCCTCTGAGAGGTAGTCTGTTTCCTGATTTGGCAACTGCTGGCTCTGATGACATGGAGGTGGTGAGAACTGTGTTGGGGGTGAGCTCTGAGTCTGAAGATTCAGGTAAATCCATTTCCTTTGGCCTAGAAGGTCCCTCTGGGTCTTTCTCTGAGCTGGGGGTGGGGCAGTTTGAGGGCAGAGCACATGGTACCAAAGTAGATGTAATTCAAACGAGTTTAGGTAATTAGCAATTTCATTTTATTTTTTTTAAGAAAACAGGAGGAATGGCATGAAGAGGGGTACACACACACACGAGAGCCAGTGTGGTGTAGTGGTTAAGAGCGGTAGACTTGTAATCTGGTGAACCGGGTTTGCGTCTCCGCTCCTCCACATGCAGCTGCTGGGTGACCTTGGGCTAGTCACACTTCTCTGAAGTCTCTCAGCCCCACTCACCTCACAGAGTGTTTGTTGTGGGGGAAGAAGGGAAAGGAGAATGTTAGCCGCTTTGAGACTCCTTAGGGTTGTGATAAAGCAGGATATCAAATCCAAACTCTTCTTCTACTGTAACCCATGGTGCCTTGCAGCTGTCCCAGTCTGGACTGGACTCCCAATGCCTGCTCTTTGTGTTCCATTTGCACAGGTGATGTGTGGCTCAACAGAAGCTGTGCATTATCCTCTGCAGGGGGAGGGGATGAAACTCCCCTCCCACAATGTGATTGACATGGGCTGGGGCGGCAAACCATTGAAAGCCTCTCTGCCTTGCTCCCAGCGACAGAAAAGCCCCTCCCAGGGGACTCCAAAGTGCATTTCAAAATAGTGGAAAGAACTCCCACAGGAGCCACTAGCTTTTCATGCTGAGCAGTCCAAGCCCCACACACCTCCCACTGCAGGCACTTAAAAGCCTTGTGCATTTATGGAAGAAAAACAGCCACCCCATCCCTGTCTCTAAACTCACAGAGCCTTCCCTAGGGAAAGAATGAATCACCCCCAGATGGAGAGATTAGTCATGCTGTTTAAGTCAACTGAGGAGGATGCTTGGTTTGTGCATTTTGGAGGGGGGAATTGTGAGGATCAGGGCCTATAGATGGTGTGTTGTGTGCAAGCCACACATCCTTATGGCTCAATAGTGCATGGATTTTGGTACACAAAGTGCAGAAGGAGGAGGACCTTTGGTCTAGAAAGAAGACCCTTTAAGAGGCTCTAATCCTCCAAAAGGGGGTGGAGCCCAAGAGAGGCTCTAAAGTTCTCTATTCCCTTCTGACCATCTCCTCAGCAAGTTGCTCACTTAGGAAGTCTTCATGAGATCACCTTCCCCAGATGGCTCCTCCGCAGGACCAGAGCAGGATGTCCAGAGTTGGACACCAAGGATTGTTCTTGGAGCAGTCTGCCAGGCAGATTTAGGGGTTATCCACACTTAACTTTTGCCCTGCTCTTTCCAGGCACAGATCCACACTTTAAAGCTCTCTCTCTCTCTGTTGCTCCAGAGCTTCCTCCACAAAAACCCGCTCTCTACTACTCAATCAGAGCAAATGTCAATTCGGGTTTTCTGCGGATTGCCGTTTGCTCTGATTCAGCTTTAAAGAGTGGGTTTTTGTAGGGAAAGCTCTAGGGTAAAAAAGAAAGAAAAAGTGCTCAGACACAGAGCTTTAAAGTGTGGACTGTGCCTGGAAAGAGCAGAGGAAAGGTAAGTGTGGATAAGCCCTTAGATTTCTATGCAACAGGTGCATCTTGTTGCCTAGAAACATCCAGAGACGTCCTTCAATAGTAGCATGTGCACAGCCTATACCAGACATTGATCCAATACAGCAGAGATCCCATTTCCCCAAAATGATGTCATTTTGACCTCTTTCATTACTTGGCCCTGCGAGGCAGTTATCCTTCTGTGAGTGAGGCTTCATGGAGGAGCATGCCATGAACATGCCGGGGTGTGTGTGTGTGTGTAATGGCTGGTGGGTGCGTTGGCAGCAAAACCGCTTCTATGACTATTTGCCTGTCTAAAATATTATTTGACCCTTTGCTGAACTAAAATCAAGATAATTTAGAAACACTGCAAAATTAAAAACTTACCATCTGCTACGCTATAATTTGCTTTCTAAAGCATGCTTGCGAAGGGCTATAGCTCAGTTGTAGAGACTCTGCTTTGCATGCAGAAGGTCCCAGGTTCAGTCCTTGAGGGCATCTCCAGGTAAGGCTGGGAATGTTCCCTGGAGAGCCACTCACAAACAGCATAAACAATGCTGAGCTGGATGGGCCAACTGTTTGATTCAGTGTAAGGCAGCTGCCTATGATCCCATGGCTCAGTTGACACCATGGCTCAGTTGGAGAACATCTGCTTTGGATGCAGAAGACTCAAGGTTCAAGCCCTGGCATCTGCAGGTTGGTGTGGTAAAGGCTCCTGCCTAAAAACTTGGGGAGCCACTGCCAGTAAGCGTAGGTCCTGACCTACAGTGGCCAACTCCCAAGGTACTGCAATCTACTCACAGAGTAAAAAACTGGCAGTGATCTACCCCCTTTTGGGGGATTCAGGTCACAGTTGTTGAGCTTTTTTTTAGGAAGGAAAGCCCTGTTTTGGGGGGTTCTGGCCAAGGTGCAGGGCTAAAATGTTCAGCTTTTTTTTTAGGGGAGCCAAACTTGTTGAGCTTCTTTGAGGGGAACCAGTGATCTACCACAGACATCCAGTGATCTACCAGCAGATCATGATCTACCAGTTGGACGTGCCTGGTGTAGGTGAGCTAGATGGACCAATGGTGTGACTAAAGCAGTTTCCTATGAACTATTGCACCAATAGCATCATCTTCACTGCTGCCCCAAGGCTATTTTAGGGGTCAGAGCAGCCCTTTACATTGGCATGTCTGCCTGCTTCCTTCTTGCATGATGGCACAAGGGTTGTCTGCAGCACCTCCAATTCTGGAACCATCCCTACCCCCACAGAGTCAAGCAGCAGCTGCAGCCCACTGAGAGGGGGGTGGGGTGGGGAGCCCAGCATGGGACGTGGAAGCGGGCAGCTGAATCAGCATTGAAACTAATGGCACCCAGGGAGTTGTGCATTGCCAAATGTTTTGCTCAGCGGGATCTTCTCTTTCTGGAGTAATTCATTTCGATTGTACAAAACCGCTGGACCTCACACAGCTTATTTGCTGGAGTTTTTATAGTGTGGTTTCCTAACCACCCGGGAAATCAATCACGAATCTCCTTGGAGGAATTTGCAGGGGGGAAACTGTCGCTCATAAAAAGTAAATATAAGCAGCCCACACGCCCTGCCAAGACTGCCAAAGCAGAAAAGAACCAGGTGCTGGGTAGACTTCTCTTTTTTATTCATGCCCCCCTCTCTTACACACACACACACACACACACACACCTACCCCACTTTGGCAGTTGTAAACTGCGCTCTAGAAATACAAATTAGCCTCAGGTCTGATGCTTAAATTCAAATTATCTTCTAAGGCTCAGAGGTATCCACCTGGCCCCCAACAGCGTCGTGGCCAGGGGCAGTTTGTCAATCCCATTACAAGGAGTCTCTTTCATCTCCAGCCTGATTTAATAACAATAATCTTATTGGCTCCATCCAAGAGTTTGTCAATCCCACTACAAGTGCCACATTTTCTAAGCTTAACTGGAGAGTAGAATTGAGGCCCTTGATCCGAGGCAGTTCATCCTGGGAGACTGTGGGCCCTGAGACTTGGAGAGATGCTCCCCCCACCCCCGCTGTCCTGGGAACTACCAGCCACTGGGGAGCCCTCAGTAGCAGATGCCTCTGCAGATGAGGGGGAAGCAATGCCCAGGGAGCAGGCTTCCTTGTCACCAGCCCTGGGGGGGAGTGGATATGTTTTATGTATTAAAATGTCCCTTGACTGTTGTCTGCCTCACGAAAGGGAAGCCTTCAGGCAGCTTCAAGGCAAATGCAGAACACAACTTTAATGCCCAATGAGTGTACAGTCCATGTACCTGTGTACACGACAGCTGAGCTGTGCAAATGAACAAGGATGCATTCTTTTACTCATGTGCAGAGAGAGCTTGTACCTGCATTCAGAGTAATGTGTCAGCAATCCTCTTGCCTTCACTTTTCAGCTTTCCGTCCTTAGAGTGCCAACTCACTCCTGCTTCCCTAGGTACCAAAGATGACCTTCAACACTTTCCAAGTCAGGAGGGTGCTGTATCCCTCTGCCCTTCCTCTAGCCCTGAACAGCAGAAATCAGTTTCAGCACTAGCAGGAATATATTAGGGGCCATAGCAAGAGAAGTTCATAGCTCTCTTAGGACTGCTGATAGACACAACTGTCAGTTTTGATTTCTTTCAGTTTCTCATTTTTCCAACTTTCAGTTCAGTTTCCGCCAATTTCTGCATCAATTTGTGTTTTTTCAAAAGTTTGCACAAAGATTCCTATGCATTTTGATGCATATTTCTCTGAACACATGCAATTTTGCCTCACATATGCATTTGCGAGTAATTTCCCCTATTTTAATGTTGCTGTGTGTGCTGTTTTCCCCAATATATGTCTTTTTGTGCACAGTTCTTGGCTGGAGAACTGCATCACCAAATCCATAGAATAGTGAATTTTGATGGACAGCTGAGTTCCAGATTGCTTATTGGTTCAGGAAGTGCAAATCAGGTAGGCTTACATTTAATAGGGCAGACTGAATGACCTTCTCCCCTATTCCTACTTAAGGACTGCCAGACCCAGGGTTGAAGAGCTGAAGAAAACATTTCCATCCTATTCCTCCCGCATTATTTTCTGTCACCTCTGTCTTTCTCCAATCTTTTGTGCACTGCAGGGGTGTGTAAAACGATTCTCCTTGACAGCTCGACAGCAAAATTAGCAAGTCCCATTAACCTCTTGGAGGGCCCCAGGTTCAGAGACATTTTATCTCCCATATCCCAGTGGGGAGAAAAAAGAGGAGTCAAGTGAGGGTGAGACATTTGGGGTGTGTATCAATATGAGGAGGAAGGCAAGGCTTGATTGAAAGTTCACCACACCTTTCAGTTGTCTGAGCCTTCCTCCCAACCCCCTGTGGGGTGGGGGGGGAGTGAAACAGTCCCCAGTTCTTGTTATTTCAGTTTGGAAGGCAGAGCAGGGTTGATGGCCTCCTATTTCATCCTGAGCAAGTTACATCTATTTAAAAATCCAATTGATTTTCTCGCATTATAGCATCTTCCATTCTTCACTTTCCTTGGCAATGTAAATTATTGCGAATCTCTCTCATGAATGGTAATGAACTAGCAACACCACCGTCTCCCCCCCACCTCACCTCTCTCCCCCACCCCATACATGGAAATTTCTATCTTTAAAAAATGATGAGAACGGCAACAGACAAAAGCTGAACTCTTCTTTGTTTCAAAGTGTTGAAATGTGGGGGGGGGGGCTCTTCATGTTCTTTGCCTTGTCTATATAGCCCTATCTTTAAGTTCTATATATAGATCAATGCATCTTCCAGCTAATCTCTTTACAATCATAAAGCTATTAAATTAATTAACGCAAATGAAAGTGGCAATACAGGATGGTCCCTGAAGGGTGTGCAATCATTTTACATTTATTTATACTGAAAAGTTTTTTTTCTCTAAGAAATATGCCGGCGTAAGCAATTCTCACAGTTAATTTTTATTCTGAAGGGCTTTGCTACTTTTGACAGGTTTGCTGTTTGAGCCATTCTACTCTGGCCTGTGTCAAGTCCTGCTGAAGAACATTTGAGAGAAAGTATATGGAGACTTGGGAAAGACGTGATCAAGGCACCTTTCTCAGTGACCAAGACAACTGCCTGCCTCGATATCTCTGTCAGAGGAACCTCCTGGCTTCAGAAAGGAAATTCCCTGATGTGGAAGGGCCTTCACTTCATGATAGAAACATGCAAAAGGTCACAGGTTCATTTCGCAGCATCTCCAGTTAGGTCCCTCCAGAAACCCTGGAGAATCACTGTCCATCAGTATAGAGAATGCTGACCTAGATGAACCCATGGTCTGGCTCCATAAAAGGCAGTCTTTGCCAATCCAACATCCTCCAGATGTTTGGGATTACAACTCTTATCAGCTCCTGCCCTCCGGTGGGAGTTGTACTCCATAATACCTGGAGGACAGCCACTTGGGGAAGGCTGTCCTTTGTGCTACTTGGCACTGTATGCACTTGGGCACTAGGAAAGAGCCCTAGCTCTTTCCCTAGCATCCACTCTTCATGCAGAAAGCTCCAAATTCAACCCACAGCATCTCCAAGTAGGGATGGGAGGGAACCCAGTCTGAAATCCTGAAGAGCTGCCGCCAGTCTGTGTAGACAATACTGATCTGCATTTCAAGGGGTTGAACTGCATAACTCTCAGGGTCCTTTCCAACTCTACAATCCTATGATGCTATGAATTAGGTGTATAAGGCACCTTTCTATATTTAGGCCTCTTCTGGTACAGAAAGAAACGGGTGTAAAAGTCAGAGCAGGAAAAAGGCATCTCCACCTCCAGAGATTTACCAAGGTGGGATTTCTCTGGATTGTACCTGTTTTGAAGCTATATTCTCTATATGTACTCTGTGAAAAACTCTCCAGAGAAACTTTCCTAGTCCTACGAATGCCCTTTTATCTTGCCTCAGAATCCTTCAGTTGCTTTAGCTGATCAGGAACCTCCAAGTTCACCTTGAATATCACTCTAGGAAACAGTCACTGGCTGCCTTACCCTGAAGCTGGCGCGGCTCCTTCATCACTTAACCATCTTCCTTCGGCAGCAGATGGCCACAGACATCGAGAGAGAGAGACCACCTTTGGTGTCAATCATGCACAATTTTCTCCATGGTTCTCTCAAGATGAGAGATGACTTCCTTGCTGTTAAATGGGCCTGTCTGTGAGAGCAAGAGGCATTTGTTCGTTTTTTTGTTTTGTTTTTGTTTTTTCATTTTTCCCAGCTCAGCTTCCATCTTGGTGGGACACAGAAGCTATTTTTGGGCGAGCCCATACTCATAATGGAGAAATGCAGGTGCTTTCGGAGGGGATATTAAGTCTAAAGAGCTGATTAAGTGCAATGGAAACTGTGTCAGTTTCTTGTCACTGAAGAGAATGTGCCAGCGTTGCGGATTAAGCCTTGACTGACAGCTTGGGATTGCAGGCCGACAACCGATCAATCACTGGAGGTGATGGGAGAGAGGAAAGCATCCCTTATCACAGCCTAACATCGTGAGTGAGAGAAGCCATACGGGCAGGGAGAGGGCAAGGAAGAGAGAACGCAGCCAGATTAAAAATGGCACTCAGAGTGAAGTGGAGCCCAGGAGATCAGAGGGGTGAGGTGGGGAGGAAATGAAGTCCTGGCGGGGTGAGTTTGTTCGCCCACATACATTCTTCATAGAGTCATAGAATTGCAGAGGAGGAGGGGTCATCTGGTCCAAACCCTTGAAATGCAGGAATCTT